TAGCATTTTTGGGGTCATATTTGCTATTTACTTAGAACCAGGGACTGGAACAATCTTTCAAAAGGAACGGTTGAAGCGACAACACTAGACACATATGTGTCTATTGCCTCAAGCCTTCAAACCCCTAGTGCATGATTCCCTCACAAAGTGGCACTAGAAATCAGTGAAATTTCCTCATCAACACCAGGAACAGAAACATTGCAAATCCCATCTACATGCATAGGAGCCAAAATGATCAATAAATTGATCATGGGCCCTTAAGATATAGAAGAAGAAGAAGAATTAAAATTCTATTTATTTATACTTTAAATATAGTTACTTTTGCAAATTAAAAAAAAACAACAACAAAAAAACAGCATAACAACTTCATGTGAGTTCAGAATGAAAGGTAACCAGATATATTTCATTTTTTTTAGAAAATAGAAAAGTATAGTTGTATTTAAACTGAAATTCTTAACATAAGCAGGAAGCCCATACATTTTTATGCCATGAATTGACCAACAGTTTTGTTGTGGACTTACAGTTTTGTTTTAGCCTACGGAGTTAACAAAAAGGACTGTCATTTATGCCAATTCGTATGGCATTGTAATGGATAACATTATAACTATTTATAAAACATAGAACTAAAAATTAATGTTTATAACAGATAACTTTTATAAGTTAAAAAAAATTGCAGTGTGTTCAGATATCTCTCACTCAGATGAATGACCTTTTAAATCAAAATCTAGTTGTCTCTCAGAAAAGGTTTGTCTTTAACAATACGAGAATCTGATTGGCAGCTTAAAATGTACAAAGGGATTAAACTTTATCACATGTAAATCAACTTAAAATTTTAAAAAAGCAACAATGATTAGACTAGTAAGGAGAACGACCATGAAGAAAAAAAATCTATTTTCGGAGAGAAAAGAGCAAAATAGATTGTTTAATACCATATCCGCTTTTATATCCTTTATGGTTATCATGTTTTGGCTAAGTAAATATGGATTGGATAATGATAGCATGAATTGAAAGGAAAGGCATTATTCAGATTGAAAGAAGTTATACATATTAAAAGAATATATTTTAAAAAAATATATATCTTGAGGTCAGCTAGAATTAGTCCTACGCAACTTACTGGATTTGAGTTTAGAAATGACAAAAATGATTCTAGAACCAACCCGTACTGAAAAAAGTATGTGCAACCACGGGCAAGCTACTCTTTTTTTACACAAATTTGGACGTAACGCATAGGATTTAAATGTTTCTTGTAATGAGTATGTGTTTGAAAATGTATGTCCAACTTTTTTTGTTCTATTCAACCACAGAAAATGATTTAACATTGGACCTGGTTGGTACAGAATACATTGGTAAACTTAACCCTGAAGCCTGCATGGTGGTCTACACATCTCTAAATGTCAAGGACACCGACCAACATTATGCATGCACTCAGGCATTTTCGCTCTCCAAGCCGGTTTTAGAAATTTCTGTAAGCGTCTCGTTATTTATGACTTTAAATTTTTAGAATAAGATTAAAGCCCATTTAAAAACTAGAAGGCTTCACAATTACTTTTCAAACAGATTTTTGTCTTTTAACATAAGGAAATGCAGGGCCGGCCTTAGGCCAGTGCTACCTATGGGGCCGCAGTGGGCCCCGCACTTTCATAGGCCCCACTTTCTAATACAAAATCTTAATTTTCACTTATTATCCTTATCCCTACCCAGAATGGGCCCCGCACAATCTGTTTCGCACAGGGCTCCGCAATTGTTAGGGCCGGCCCTGAGTAAATGAAAGCAGTTTGTAACATCAGTAAATAAAAGCAAATATTTGGATACTTATTTTTTTAGCTACTTTTTGTTTTTAAATACAAATGTAATCTACACCAAGATCCAAGATGATAAAATATATGTAGTAAAAATATTGACTAAACGTTATTGATGTTTTCCATAGAAATTAATCAATGTTTTATCTTCCTAAAGCTTCTATTCAACTGAATGTATTAAGATGTCTTTCTGTTATGTTGAATGTCATTTCTCTCTGACAATTAAAAACATTCAAAGAATAAACTTAACTACCCAGATATGTATATAATGCAGATTCCTGATATGATTAAAGTCAAGGAAGAATTCACAGGGACGTTGTCCTTCACCAATACTTTGGATATCAGCTTAACTTCTGCTACTGTCCACTTGGATGGGAGATCTGTAACTTCAGACCAAGTCCACACATTCAGGTTCATTCGTTTTTCATTAAGCACTAATTCAAATTTATTTTAAACAAATATTTAGCTCAATTGTTAGTATCTCATTCATTGCTTTAGAGTTTTTCTAAGAGAGAAGTTCCTTCCAAAACATTCACTGAATCATAAATACCGGTATCTATTCATATTTGTTGTAGGCCCTAAGGGACTTAATTCATATTATTTTTTAACTGAAAAATAAATTTATCGCTGTTTACTTTGGAAACACTTGGATCACATTAATGAGATTTTAGGATTAAATTCTTGTTTGTTAAAAAATTTATATTTAAAAAGATAGGCCTAAACTATTAAGGTAAGTTATTATTTTGTCCATCTCATTGCTTAGCTCTGTACTATTTCTAACAAACAATAAAAGCATTCAGAACATTGTAATATTAGTTATTAGTCAGCTTGACTTATTGCAATAAAGAAAAGAAATGTAAGATTGAGTAATAAGTGAAACCACCAATAGGACTGAGTCACTCAATAGTCTTACACTGAGGAATAAGTGAAACCAAAAGGATTGAGTCACTCAATAGTCTTACACTGAGGAATAAGTGAAACCAAAAGGATTGAGTCACTCAATAGTCTCACACTGAGGAATAAGTGAAACCAATAGGATTGAGTCTCTCAATAGTCTCACACTGAGGAATAAGTGAAACCAATAGGATTGAGTCTCTAAATGAATGACAATGTAGACACACAACTCTGAAACAAACACAAAGGTGTTTAACATACTTTGAAAAAAAAAATCTGACCTTCTTTTAGTCTTAAAATGTTCAGTTTGCACTGTTACTTTCACTACAGTTTTAATTCAATTTTACATCAACACAGGAAAGCAATAAAACCAGGAGAAACTGTCACACATGACTTCAAAATCAGGCCAAGGAAGGCCGGTCTCACTGAAATAGAGGCCACCATAACCTCAGATCAGATCAGTGGTGTGGATGGTAGTGTGGAATTTGATGTGCGGCCATCTGATGATGGGGAAATGATTAATTCATGTTAGGGGTTTTGAAAAGTTCGAAAATATGAAATTACTGTACCCTAAGCTTGTTAATATAAAAAATTCTTTTCTCAATTTATAAAATTATTTTTCCTTTCGTTATTCTCTCCGGATATTTTCTTATTATATTTCATCTAATACTTCCCATGTTATCACATTATCTTTTGTCTTAAACTCCACAGTTTATCACATTACCTTTTTGTCTTATACCATTAGCACATTACCTTTTATCTTATATTCTGCAGTTTATTATCACATTACTCTTGTCTTAATTCCCCAATCTCATGTCCCTTGTGCTTTTCTTAATGAATTTTAAAAACCAATTAACTTGTCAATGTTTTACGACTTTAATGTCATCTTAGTTTTACAATGAAACTGTTAAATCTATTGAGTTTTAAATCTTAATCTTTTTTTTTTCTTCACGCAGACAAATATTGCTTGCTTATTTTTTAAATATTTTTTTTTTATTGATCCAGAATATTTTTATGTTATATAGTCAAATGTGAACAGCTTTAACACAGTTTTATAATTTTATAAAGTTCATAATTTTTGTTTTATTATTTTTAACTATTCTGTCAATGATGAAAATATTTGGAAGGAAATGGGGAAGAAGGAATAAAATCTTGTACATTGAGAATGACTTACTTGTTACTTGATATTAAAGTATTGGTTAGAGTGCAAGTAAGGAAAGAACATAATTTTAACTAAGGGCTGTATTGATCTTAAAGTAGCTGCATGCAGAGTGTTATTAAAGAACTTATGTAATGTCAGCAGTAGTCTTCAACATTTCACCGACATGTGTCGTAAGAGGAGATGGCACCTTAGGATCTCTACACCAGGGGGTTTTACGCAAGTTCGACCATGCAAAAACACTTCTGAGAGAGTTGCACTGGCTGCCGGTGCGTGCTCGCATAGAGTACAAAATGGCAACTTTGTGCTACCGCTGCTTACATGACCTGGCGCCGTCCTATCTGAAAGAGCTGCTGACGCCTTATGTACCCACTAGAGAGCTCCGCTCATCCGATAGTGGCAAACTCTCGACACCACGTGTTTGCCTTGAGACTTACCGAAAGCGCACTTTCGCATTTGCTGGTCCAACAATTTGGAACGCCCTTCCTGTCGATCTCAGAAACAACCAGACACTGGAGTCCTTTAAAACTAATTTAAAGACACATCTATTTCGCAAACACCTTCTGGGATGATTGTCTACCATATTTTCCAGTTAATGCATAATGGCTGTGTTGCTTATGGTTGAAATGGCTAGAAAGACTTTGACATTGTATGCTTGTAATTAGTTTTTGTAGTGTTGCGTTTGTTTTAAATGTGGTAAAATATAGATTTGTTTTTTGTTGACTTTGTACCGCGATTCGAGCCTTTGGGGATGAAGCGTGTTTTTGAAATGAACTTTATTATTATTATTATTATTTATTAACAGCTTGTCTGTTCATTGTACATGCCGGCCTCTCTGGTTATTAAAATAAATCTTCATAAGTGTTGCAGCCATAAAAAGTTAATCAAATATTTTGCTATAAATGTGGCAAATGCATAGATAAGGCTACACTCCTTGGTTCCCAATAACAAAGACAACCAATCATGTTTTCCCCAGTAACATTCTATTATTCTATTCTAGTGTCTCTGGTTTTTCATTTTTATTTTACTTTAGCAGTTTCAATAGTTTACATATTTTTAATAATTGTAAAGCGCTTAGAGCTGTAAGGTAAGCGCTATACAAAAATGCCTATATAAATAAATAAATAAAAGAAATAGAAACAATAAATTCAATAAAAGTCAGCAGTGAAGTTTATTTTGTTCACCTGTTGTCACATGATTTTCCTAATTTCAGCATTCACTCGTTTTTCAAAACTGTAACATATTTATACACAAGTCAATTTTTTAGTTAAGCATACACATTTTTTCCTTACTCAGCATTCATACTGTTGTTGTTAACCTTAGGTTCAACTGTCAAACATTAATTCACAAACAAATTTACAAGAATGGCAATAACATAAAACTTTGCTGGCCAAATATTGGACCCTAAAATTGTTTGGAGGATGGATTTTTGTGGTCTTCAGTTTAAAAAAAATAAGTAATGTCCCTTTGTTTCAATAGATTAGATATTACAACATAACATTTGAATGAACACGTTTTCTTGACCACTCTTGGGGTTTTTAAAGTATCATGGCTCGGATGTAACTATTGCTATTAATGTTAAACACCACATACACAATGAACGAGATATACAAGAAAATAGATTTGCTAGAAATAATACAGAGAAAAAAAATGTTCATTTTTTTTTATAAAGTTAAAAGCTATTTGCAAACAAATTTATGAAATAAGGCAATGCTTTTAAATGTTTAAATATGACAATGCCGTTATCTCCCTCACCATTAATTCTTAAAATAATTTCAACAATTTTACAAACTTAATTCTTGTTCATGTTTGCAATGAGTTATCAAACATCACTGCAATATTCAGTATAGTGGAGCTACATGATTTGAGAAGTTGCTATTTAGGTGAAATTGCAATTAAAAACAATTTTTTTTAAATTTACTTCTAGATGTAAACAAATTACCTTTCTTTATTCCCTAAAATGATACTGAGATGATACAAGTGGTTCTATTTGATAAGAGAAAGGAATATTTCATTTTAATTAACTTCCAAAATGGATATGTTTTGAGTATTTGATTTAAATAAATTAATTTAATTGGAAGGGCTTTGTAATTAATGCTAGACTTGGTCATTTTCCTTGACAACCACTAACCAAATTGAGATGTGAAGTGATGTGTCACACATTGGATTGCTGGGCCAGGAATGTACGGATTCTCTGCAGCAGTTCTTTCTTCACTTCATCAGGCACTAGGGCTGAGAGAGTAAATCATAAACAGTTAATTGTGAATATTAAGCTAAAAGAAATTGGAATAATTTTTTACCCGACTTGCAAAGAATCATACCAATGACAATTAAAGAGTTAATTTAGAATAAATATAAAAAATATACAAAAATATTTAGAAAATCAACCTACATCTTCCTCTAGGAGTTATTTCACTAACCAGATCATCAACTGTGATATGTTCCAAACCCTTCTGCTGGACTATTTCTGCAAGAAAAGTAATGGGAGTTAATATAACAATTACTGTTCAGACAATAAATATAGTACAATTTATCTCTTTAAATTTTTTACAAGATGACATATTAACAAAATCATAAGTGCCAAAATAATGTTTAAGTCATACTAATCCATGCCTTTGCAATATGCTTTCAGCTGATCTCTCCATCCACACTCGATGAGTCTTGCCCTTAAAAGTTCTTTTAACCTGAAGACAGAGAAACAAAAGCATTTGCATATTTTTTTAAAAAATGCTTAATGATAATGCAAATGGAAAAAATTATATAAATTTCCAATTATTAAAAATGGGTAATTCAAAAAAAAGTATTTTTAATTGTACAATTGCAGCAATAAAAGAGTCAGAAAATCAATAAATGTAAATGGCCTTATGGAACATTTTTCAGATTAACCCTATGTGCTTTTTTCTGCAGTGTCAAGCCATTTGTAGCATTTGCCTATACTTGTCAAAAATGACATAATCCCGTACTAAATGAATTATGAGACCCTTAAAAGTATACATTTTCTGAAAGTTAATTTGACAAAGTACCTTATGTATGTTGATACTGACCTTGACAAAAGTGAGTAAATTTTTACTACGGTACTCAACTTATACATTCAACCCAACCTAATACTCCAAAAATTGTTCAAACTATGAAAAAAATCAAGTTTTTGTGATACTAGAATCAATATTCTTTCAGAAAATGTCAAGTTATGGATACCTTAAATTGAAATTTGTAATTTTTGTGTGTGTTTTTTAATTTCATTACCTTTAAATTTATGTCATTCAAAATTCAAGGGGGAAAGCATGAAGTGAGTTCTAAAATTTGACATTATTCAATCCATTTTAAAAAAAATTAATTAATAATCTAGATAGAACATATACAAACATAAATGTCTTTGAATCTCTTTAGGATAGGTACTTTCATTTTGGATCCGATCTTTGTCTTTTATGTGCTGTTTCACCCTTTCCCAAACAAATTTGTGTACTGTAACAATTTGACAAAGCTTAGGGCTAAAATTGTCAATATCTGACTTCAATGTTGCCATCACCACTAGTACTAGAGCTAAGAATCTCAATGCTAGCATGTGGAATATCTCTGAAATCATTGCTTTTATTTTAAGCCATTTAAGATTATTCCAATAAAGAACATCTATTTTTGCAATTTTGCAATCTAGAGGGGGTATTCCAATAAAGAACATCTATTTTTGCAATCTAGAGGGGGACCACCTCCAGATTCAGACAATGGTAGTTTAAAAAAAAAAAAAAAAAAAAGCAAATTTCACACCCGATTAATCACAGACTACCCCTGAAAAAAGCACTTCAACACACTGAAAGAAAAGGAAATAGTAAGGAAATAAAGAACATCTTTTTTTGCAATCTAGAGGGGGACCACCTCCAGAATCAGACAATGGTAGTTTAAAAAAAAAAAAAAAAAAAGCAAATTTCACACCCGATTAATCACAGACTACCCCTGAAAAAAGCACTTCAACACACTGAAAGAAAAGGAAATAGTAAGGAAACTCATTTAAATATAATGATTTTCCCTTAACCAATATACATTAAATCATTCGCATTTTTAATGACGATTTTGCTAGCGGCTTATTATATTGACCAGGACACCACAGAAAGGGGTATACAGCTATGACAATTATAGATTAATTGGTGTCAGACTCAGATGTGAGACAAAAATCTAGAATCAGGAATGACAATTTTGAAAATTTTTTAAGAATAAAAACAAATCATACCGTTCTCTTTCGCCAGTCTCCACCAATTTCTGATTTATAGTGGCTCTCATCTGGGCATCTTTAAGTTTGCGGTCTTGTAAACTAAAAAAAACATATAAGATATAAAATGTTTATTCTATTCATTATAGTTAAATAGTTATAGAATATTGTATGAGCATGGAGACAGCAGTATTAGACTTAGGGCGCATATAATTATTATAACCCATTCAACCGCCAAATCTGGCCAGTACTGATTAAATCAACCAACTGCCAGAGTTGTCAGAGGTGAATTCAGTGTTTATTGAGCATTTGGCTCTGATTAAGAAACCTGGCTTCTGTGGGGTGAGATACGTGTTAACTGGGATGGCCGGCACTAGCCCCGTGACCACTTTTTATAGGAATGTTAAACGGAGCTTTTTTCGTCGGTTTTTGAGGGAGGGGATGTCAAATCTTTTAAAGAGGTCAGTTACAAAGCCAGGAGTGGTGGATTTGCAGTTACTTGCGATGAAGCGCACTGCGTTACGTTGTATTCGCTCCTCTTGTCCACGTCTTGCTTTAGGTATGGGTCCAAGATTATCGCACCATATTCTAGTAGCAGACGGACGAGTGCGAGATAGGCATTTCGTTTGCAGGATGTTGGGCAGTGATGCAGATTTCTTCGAATGAAGTCAAGTGTCGAGTTGGCTTTTTAAAAAATTTTGTTTATATTGTGCAATAGATGTTGAGAAATCAGGAGATCACAGTCCCTCATAACTTTGCGCTCCCCCCCCCCTCAAATTTAAGAAAACTTCAAAGCGAAGAGAAAAATAAGCACTTAAAGACTTGGTAACTCTTTTTGACAAAATTTTGACTTTTAATTTTAAATAAATGTAGTGGCAGTGTGAGTGGACAGAACAATAAGTTTTGACAAAGGTATATTTATTTATTGGTGACATTAGTATAAAAATAATAAGACCCCAAAGTAAATCTTCACATTTATTGAACTAAAATCTAAGTTAAGTATCATTATCAAATAAAATAACCATTTACAAGAGAGGATAGGTTTGAACTTAGCTAACAACTTTTTAAAGACTACTCACTCCGCCATTTTGAAATACCATTGAAGAGAGGTACAATATTATTTCCAATCTGTTAGTAAATTAAAAATTAAAGGTTCTGTAAAAATAGAAATTTACCTCGTTAATTGTATTTTTTAATGAAGTTCAAAGTTAAAAAGAAATAATTTGGGGAAAATTAATATTAATTATGTCATCTAGGTCAAAATTTTGTATTTAAGCAATGAAATCTCCCCGCCTGGAGACGAGGACGCTACAATGGCGGAAGCTGTTATTATTAGTGTTATCTTAAAATCAAAATTTGAAGACGTTGTTACGATTGCTATTTTCAAACACAGTCCGTTTTATTAGATAAATAATTTGATGAAAAATATTGTAATATATAAGCTTTTATAGATACACTTTTAAAAGTGAAAAACCCTCACCTAAATGTCAAGTTTCACACTTAAAAATATGGAGGCAAGAGGACTGGGAGGAACAGGTATGTTAAATATTAAATTATTATTAGTAATATTAGTAAGCTCATAAAATTTTGTCATAGAAAAATAATTTAATTGCTAATTTAGCAACGCCTCCATTCAAGTCAGTATCATAGTTGACACAAATGAGATAACTTAAAAACCTACCTGCCTTCACTACTCACAACTTACTAACTTACAGTTTACAGTCAGTCGCATTTAATTCATTTAAATTTAAAGATAGGAGGACGATTAATTTGATGAAGAGGGTGAGTAGAGTAGAACTGTGAGATTGCTTACTTGATGAAATTTGCAATAGTTCCAAGCTATAACACTAATAATAATTTAATCAACAAGTTGTGCCGACATTTGACTTTGAAAATAATTGAATGTAATAAGAAATTAGAAAACAAACAGAAAGTGCATGTATAGTTTATGTAACATGTATAATAACCACATAAACATTTCGAATACTAAGAGATATTTTATTGTATTTCAATATATCCTTATGTAGTTGAATATTTACATTTTGCTTTTACATGTAAAATGTAAATATAGCCATGATGTAGACTACAGATTTTCAGGAATCTATTACTGTATGAATGAACATCAAAAGAAAATACCAGTATATCATATGTATATAATGTGTACGCATGTCATTTTAACCATCTTGCTTTCACTATGCATTGGCAAAATTTACACACGATATCCACAGTTCATTCAAACCTTCTGTCTCACAGCAAATCTTTTGAAAAACCATGATTTTTTAAACTTACGTCACAGTAACAAACTGTATAGCAAAGCAATAGGTCTGCGTTTACCCTGTTTATGATGGAATTACATTGACAGTAAACTTAGTATGATTCCCCATATCATTTCTGTTGTCAAGGCATGCTTCTGTCGTCTGCGTGCCTTGGGTCAGCTGCGTCCTCAACTCAATAGGAGAACAGCCAATACTGTAGCAGTAACTCTAATCCATTCAAGATTAGATTACTGTAATAGTTGTTTGTGGGGTTTACCTCAGAACCAAATTCAGAGACTCCAAAAGATACAAAATACTGCAGCACGCATTGTAACCTGCATGCGGTTCGATAAAATCTGACCACATCAGCCAGGTTCTACGAGATCTCCATTGGGTGCCTGTGAGTGAGCCCATTAACTACAAAAGTCTATCCATGGTGTACAGCTGCAGAGATGGCACAGTACCGGAATATCTCAAGGAACTGATTTATAATCATGTATCCGTGAAGAGCCTGCGGTCTTCATCACAGTACTTGCTGAGTGTTCCTAATGTGGACAAACACAGAAAAAAGTCGTACAGAGTGCGCTCTTTTGAAGCGATAGCACCAAAATTATGGAACAGTTTGCCTCAATCTATGAGGGGATTTGTAAATGATAAAATATCCTTTAAGAAACAATTAAAAATTTAAATAGATTTCAGAGGACCAGAGCGCAGTGAGCATGCTAAAATGGCATGGATACCGACGCAATATAAATATCAAAATCAATCAATCAATCAATTTGTTTCCAGAATGGCATGGCATGGCATGTGCTATTCTTGGGATAAAAGATGACATTGTCTTACAGAAACCATTGCACAATGAGCGTGGGACAGGATTTGCGCTACTTCAAATTTTTTTTTTTTTTTAAAAATCTATCCATGCTGGGGGATGCAGGTGAGTTATGGGCAGAGGTTCAACAGGGGGCACAAAACCAAAAAGGGGGCCTACACAAATCACAACTCTGGATAGGGGTTGTCCACAAAGGATGTCCGCACAACAAACTGATGTGCTGATGTCTGGCGGCATTTTTTTCTAATGTGTAATGCCAGGAAATAAAACAATTATAAAGTATTATGAAGAGCAAAGAGTCAATACATTTAAATTTCTAAAATCATTATGATACATAGGTCCATTCATATATTAATTATGCACTATGGGGGGGGGGCTGTTGATTTTAGATATTTAGCTTACTGCTGAACAGTGGTTCTTTCAGAAATTTTCCTCCTCAGGGGGGCAATGCCAGCAGTTCCAGTTGATTTATTGTTGGACATATTTTTGCTCCGGGGGGGGGGAGGAGGGGCACTGCCCCCCCGGAGATATAGCTGAAAGAAACCCTGCTGCTGTGTATAGCGGTTGGGGGATGAGAGTTGGGTTTGGCAGAAAGAATGGAATTTAATAATTATCCCGAATTTCTGACACTCTCATACATCTAATAAAGCCAACTTAAACCTAAAAATCTGTGAAATCAATGATATTTAATTACTGTTAAAAGACTTTGAAAAAATCACTGCAGTGTTTTGTATTTATCATCTTACTGTTGTTTTGTGTTGACAATCGCTTGATATCACAATTACAATGGTTAGCCTCGGACAAATTTAACTTCAAGATCAATGTATGTGATTCTCTGCCTGTAACGTATTTGTGGTGTAAATATATCTTGGAATTAATAAAAATAGATACACTGGCTTCCCATTCCTTTTTACACCATGTCCTGAGGGGATCACATACAATGTTATAATTATAATGCACCCCCCCCCCCAAAAAAAAATAGTAGGGGTTGAAAAATGATTTTAAAATTACCTACCATTTTTAGGCCTTAAGATTCACAATCATATGATAAAATTTACAACAATTAATAAATATATTTGTATTTCAGTAAGGGGGGGGGGGGAATAAAGGGTTAACTTTCTTTCCCAATAAATTAAATACTAAGACATACTTTGCTTTTTACAAGTACTTTGCCACAAAAAAGTGTGGAACTTACCCAATATCTTCCTTCCAAGGTATTAAATGATTTTTAAATAAATAGTTTTCAGTTTTAACCAGAGTATAACATTAAATTTAATCTACAAGTACCGGTTAGGCCAAAAAGCTCAAGACTCTCGGAAAAACCATGGTTTTGCTGCTTAAATCTCTGCTGTGTACTCAAGCCATGGCCAATGATTTAGCTAGGTACACCGCTGCAGTGTAAGCAGGCAAGAGTCCATGGTTTTGCCGGCCTTTTTGATATTAGGAAAATAGTAGTTGTATATGAAGGTGTGATGTGACCATTATCCTTCCTTTTTGTATTTCTTTCGCTTTAACTTAAGTTTTCTAATGAACATGTGAGGGAGAGTTATTAATTCTCATGATTTACAGAATTGTCCTTACAAGATTTGTTTCACAAATTTAAAAACCTCTTGTCTGTCAATTTATTTTGTCGAAATTGAAGGATAAAGCTTTTCTAATTTCAAAGGTTAAAAAGGGGGCTCAAAATCGTTTAAATTTTAATTGATATCATAAGTTTTTATATAAATTTAAATCCATTCCATTTTTGTTGATCAAAAATCTGTGCTATTACTAATGAGCTTTTTAAATAAGTAAGTTAAATCTAAGCTCGTATTAACAATTTCCAAGACAAGAGATGAACACGTTTTTATGTCTTGCACTACTTTCAGGTACGAGGCACGACGCTATGACACACTAGCTTCCCACTCTTGTTGTGGATCTGAGTTCAATTTTATTTCATGTTTGCTTACCAAAACTTTTGGGTTTTTTAAAAATTGAGAACTGCATTTAAGTTATATATCAATTAGGGTTGCTCC